TAACCAAATGTTGCAATGAAACTTAAGTAACAATAGATCTTTTCTTCCATGCTGGGATGTACATCCAGTTTATCAACAAAGAAAAACTGACTTGATTGGAGATAAAATGAATAAGTCTTGCATACATCACCGGAGAGAAGTCCAGTTACAACTTGATTTTGATTGCATATGCCATATGCAGTTCAAAAAATGTTTTAAGAAATTGAACATATTAATGGATGAATTGTTGAGTATAAGATCTATAACAAGCATTTAGAACATATATAGGGGAAATTTCCATTCCAGGTTTTTTGTGATATGCAATTTTATAATAGAGCGATACATATTGACAGTATGTTTAGTCACTGTTCCATAAAGAATGAAAAGTGCTTGAGCTGCCAGCTGTTGCTATGGTTACCATGGCAGGCAAAAGTGATTTTTTACAAGTGCCTATTTATCAGAGAAATATGTGACCTGACTAACTTGGTGATGACTGAACTCAGACAGCAAGAATATGTTATGTTAGAAAAAGATGTTAGATCAACAAAGATGGGGGTGGAGCTGCTAGATACATTGATTTTATGTTGATTCAATGTTTCTTTATAATTCAAAGCCCATCCTTGTATACGTTTTGAGATTTGTTGTTCATTCAGGAGATGAACATGGCGCTTTAATTTCCGTCTGCATGATTGTATGCATTAATGAGATTCTCATGACACCAGCTGGATGTTACGAGTTGTATGCCAAAAATATGACATCAAACCCCTTGAGGGTGTTATCATTTCAGATTCTTTAACTTTATAATGCAGGTTCGATTTTTTATTAAAACAGATTTCATATGAAAGTCACAAAAAAATGGGTCTTGGAAACCCATACATTATTCATTTATTTTGCTACTTTCAAATGAATGTATATTTCATTGTTTTACCCTAGACCCAGTATTTCAATCTTAAAATATGAGAATGTAAAAAAACAAAAAAACAAATATAAAACCGATGATATGAATTATTACATGTTTAAAACTGACAATCTAAACAACAAATAAAATAAACAAACCTTTTTTTTTTCATTTAATTTATTAATTTAGCTAGCTCTTTCTATCAAACAAAAGCTAAAGAAACACACAAATACATAATATATACATGTGATATTATTCCTAATATCTACCATTAGTTGTGCTGCTAGTAATGTATTCACTATGAATTCAGTTTACTAAAAGTTGTCAAAATAATACTTGGGCCTATGAGGTTCTGTTCAAGCCTGTGCCTGTAGCACATTTGAATCTCCTAGTTTCTAACTAAAATTAGGTCATTCCCATTAGGAAACTGATTTGATATACTTTGGGTGTTGTGGGATGTCCATAATCATTGATAGTCAGTTAAATTAATCCTCCAGTTAATCCTGTGAAACAGCTGAGGCGGTGATAAAGCATCTAGTTATGTCAATCATTACTGGTCTGTGAAGTTCACACAGTACCTATTAAACTGCTAATGAGGCTAGGAAGCCCCATACAGCCTGTCCGGGACTGGTAAAACAGAAATTCCCTGACCTCAACCTTCACGGGGTTCTACAACCCCAAAGCCCCTGCGCAATAACATGGGTGGGCTGATTCAGTAGGGTCAACCTCACTTAATAGTTCAACTATTTGCATTATGATAGAAATGGAATGAAGGCAATCTTGCAGAGCTTACAATGCCATTATAATGTTTGCTTAGGGCTGGAATACACTACATGATTTTTATTCTGACAGATTTCAGAACACTAGGCATCACTTGCTGACTTTGTAAATTACTGAGAAAAACAGGACATCAAATCCTGAGGATTGAGGATCACACACTACCGGAATTTCAGGTGATTCTGAAAACAACAAACTCAAGCAGAAACACGTCACGTTGCTAGGAGACGCGTGACAAATCAAAACAATATGAGCTCTAAAAACGGCTCGAAATTTCAAACGTTTGATTTCCTTTAACTGGATGGAAATATGGTCTGAAGCGAAAAAAAAGTCAAGTCTGTGTTTATCAGACACGACACAGTTTTCACTGAAATCTGTCAAATCAAATCTGCAGACTGGCTTTGAGTTTCGGCAACTAGCTTTGACTCATCCAGACTGTAAATCGGCGCAAAGATCTGGACAAAAACAAACAAACAAAAAATTTTGTGTGAATTCCATCCTTTAGCTAGTTAATGAACAACTAGCAGGTCATGTAAGAAATAAGCATGGGTTACTTCAGACATTACGTAATGTAGTTAGACATTGTTCAGTCACTGAGAAAGAAAGAACAAAAAAACAAGAATAAAGAGGTCCTTAAATGTTATAAGGTTTTCTGAGTGGTAGTGAAAATAAATGAAGCAAAACATTTTTTTTTTAACCTGTGAAACTTCTCTTACACTAAAAAATGCTGGGTTAAAAAGGGACAAACCCAGCTATTGGGTTGTTTTGACAGATATACCAAAACACACACACACACACACACACACACACACATATATATATATATATATATATATCTCCATGCTCAGGAAGCCATCATGCATGTAACTAATTTAAAATAGCACGAATGTATTATCAGAAACAATGAGCCATGATACAACACGTATTACCTACAGCTACAATACACTCAATTCAAATCAAATCCATTCTGCTCTGTTTGTTTCCATTCAGAAATGCCCATACAGCAACCTGTGCTATTTGGACACAATGACAACACACAAATCCATTACAACGAACACCACATGTCTACACTGTGATGCTACCGCAGCTAAATTAAACTATTCAGAGCTCATAATCCTCGGATCAGGAGGTCTCAGGACTGTTTAACATTCATAGAGACATTCATTTCTTACTCACACATAGGAGATAATCCCATAGTGCCAAAGGCCCCATGATTTCCAGCTGCAGCACCAGTCATTCTGCAGACATTAATGACCTTACTGAAACATGCCCATCTGTGCACTTACACACATGCTAACGCTCATTTACTGGGACATGTTGACGATCCATATTAAATCAGCTGATTATTGCATTGAATTTTACATTTTCTTAATTCTAAATGGTATTTTTACTTTGTAACAATATATAAAATATTGTCATATCTAAATGTATACAAATGTACATTTATTTATTTATATTTCTTTTTTTATATTATAATTTTTAGCTATATCATCCAGCCCTAATGTATACTTTGTACTGCATGTGTTATAGTTCAAATGGGTGTTTTAAAAGGTGAAAGTGACTTGGTATATTGTGTCATGATGAATATTTGCTTTGCACATTAACCTTGTGATGTCAAAGTCTGAGTGCATCTGCTTCTCTAGATTAATGATAGATTTCAGTTATACACTTGACAGGACGGCACCTGAACATTAATAACAAGCTGCAGCTAATTATATTAACATTGTCTGACCGTCTCTTCACAGATTCCATACCATTATATCATTTGCCTTGGCGTATTGGCCTTTGCGTATTGGCTATTATCAGTGTGTTCAGCCCTTAATGCATTTTAGCTCTTTTAGAATTGTCCACCACTTAAGCCAAGGACACTCAGAATTAACAAAATCCATATGCAGAGGACTGGTGTCACATTGCAGTGAACATAATGTGTTTTTCATGAGATCATGACATTGGCATTGTGATTGAGAGGTGATTAACTAATGTTTTAATGTTAACGTCTCAAAGGAGATCCTTTGAAAAAAGTACTATCGTTAAAAAGCTTTGCCATCACAGAATAAATTCATTTTGAAAATATATTAAAATAAAAAAAAGTTATTTTGAATTGTAATATTTCACATTATTAGTGATTTACTGCATTTTTGTCTAAATAAATGCAGCCTTGGTGAGTGAAAGAGACTTAAAAACACATGAGAAACAATCTTATGACCCCAAACTTATGAATGGTGGTGTATATAACTCATTCCACTTACTGTATTAGCAAAAACCAACAGCACAATGGACTAGAACAGTACGCAGCTGAGATTTGCACATACAGTGGAGTGGCCTATATTTTAACCCCTTCTATCCAAAGAATGTGAAAAAAAAAACAGAAGAACTGCATTAACAGCAAAGCATTTCATTAGACAAAAATGAGTCTGCTTCAAATAATGGGAGACTACATTTTTTGTAAATTGTAGTATAAAAGTCACGGCATAGATAGGTCAGAAAATAATCATAATAAAGTAGGCCTAGTCATTTTCACTCAAGTACATTTAAAAGAAATATTACTGACAGCTATATAGTTAACATTCTCGTAAAATATTTTTTTATGTAAAAGCTTAATTGGCAATAAAGAAACGTGCTTCCAGTGTAGCGTTGTATTGTGTTGTATGAATTTGCAGATGAACAAATCTTATTATTAAAAGCTAATCACACCGCAGCCTGCTTTACGGTAATTCTGCAGTGAATAAACAGCGCCATCCATTGGCAGTTAAAAGTATTGTCCCATAATTTAAAATGAAATTATTTATTATTTTTATAAACCCAGCTATTGGGTTGTTTTGACCCAGCGGTTGGGCTGTTTTGAACCCAACCACTGGGTCAAAACAACCCAACCGCTGGGTTTGTCCCTTTTTAACCCAGTACTGGGTTATATTTAACCCAGCATTTTTTAGAGTGTAAATAAGAGAACATGCAGATCAAATAACAGAATAAGTTTCGTATTTCACATTTATTCATCCAACAAAAAAATAAAAAAAAAGTCTAGTATAGTGTCTTTGGTAAACAGCTCTCTGGTCACTAAAATATATTGACCCTTATCCCTGTTGAAAAAAACCAGCATATGCTGTTTTTTTCAACAGGGATGGCTACCGGTTTTCTCAACAGCTGTCTTTTTCTTCTCACAAAATAACTTAAATCAATATTTCAAGTGCATTTATTTATTTATTGTTATATTAAGTAGGATAATGTACCATCATCTGGCCATTATTGCTAAATAAACCCAAGCAGTCTGTCCTTATAAATATAATGTTGATAAATATGATAATTTAATATTTCTTGTGGCAGTCCATATTTACATCAGTATACTTTACAGCTTGGTCTCTAAGCACAAGACATCTTCTGTGGAGGATCCACATGCTCTGATGTTCTCAAACTCTTGGGAAATCTCAAGGAGAGTTTTGCCTTTTGTTTCAGGAAGGATGAAGAAGACATAGAGAGCGGCTATCAGACAAACGCAGGAGAAGAGAACAAAGCTCAGAGACTTCAGAGCGGCCTGCAGAAACATGGATGAGAACGTGGCCTTTTGTTAAAGTGAGATGACAGACAGCAGAGCAGTTTCATTGGAGCAGTGAAAAGGTGTGCTGAAAGCCTGGTATTACACATTGTTCAAAATGAAGACATATAATAGGGCACACATAAAAGAATCATTCTGTATTTTAGTTGGTATTTTATGACAGTATAAAATAAAGAGAAGAAAAACTCTGAGAGATTCACAATACAGTCGTAATCACTGTATGCTGGCAAAAGCTTATTACATAAACCAATAATCAAACATCTAATAGCAATGACATTTACTGATGCTGCATTTGTGGAGAACAGGCTCACTATATATTTTACTGTCATTAACGTTTAAAAGTGGCTGAATCCACAAACATTGCTTTATATTTAAAGACATGTGGGTCATTCTATCTAAGGTGAAAATTGCTATTTTGGCCCCACTCTACAAAATAGTGGATTACTCCGTAAATATACTTCCATGGCATTTAATAGTTTGGCTTTCTTCACTATACATGTTTATCTTTCTTCAAAAAATTTTGGACAAAATTAAAAATTTGAGCCAGGGACCACTGGTTGAGTTGAGACGTTCCGACCCACATGTTTTTTTATGGTATTGGTATGGTGCTGGACTTACAATAAGGAATGGGAAGATGAATCCAAGCATTGTGAATCCCAGCCAGCGCAGGAAGCCGATAAACACAAATGCAGCCGGGCGGTATGACTGGATGAAGATCTCATTGATGAGTGATGGGGCTACTCCAGCTGTTCAGATCAAACTGGTTTGAGTTGTTGGCACTGGCTAGTCAGTTTATAATGAATGTAGTATGCGCTTATCATAAGCAATATAAATGTTGTAGAATACTGTTGTTTTGAACACAGCAGCATGATTGCAAGAGCAGTATTGCTTATACAGCTTTGCTATATATGCTTTGTTTCTATAAAGGCGTGTTGTGCATGAGAAGCTGCAAAATAACATGCGCAATGGTGAAACGTTCTTATACCACATATTTACATAGAAAACAATGAAAATGAAATTCAAAAAAGCGTTTTGTGTGCACAGCCCCTTATATACAGTACTGTTATTGTTGCTTTTGGAATGCCATGTGACCAATCAGATTTGAGGATTGAAACTAAATGTTGTATAAATATTTCAATAGTTTACCTGGGCCTCCCCCATAGAAAATAAAGAACAGGAAAATGAGGATGACAGTGGTGTATGGAATCACAGAGCTGTAGTCCTGGAGACGAAACAGAGATAAGGTAATAAAGTTCTGTTTTGATCGCTGTGAGCTGTTAAATGATAGAGACTCACCTTTAGGTACAGGGTGACAGTGATTAATGCCATAATGGCCGACATTCCCCCAAACCCTCGCCACATCAAGGCTCTCCTCCCCACACTCTCAATAAACAGCCCCTACACATGCACACAAACACACATGGGCCCCATAGATGAATTATGACGTTCCTCCACCACAAATTATGCCAGTTTGATTTCAGATTACACACTTTAATGTGCGCCTCTCTGGAGCTTACTTACACAGGTTATGGAGATGAGGACTTCTGATGCTCCGATGCCCAGAGTGACATAACGGATCTTGTCCACTGGAATACCCACTTCCAAAAAGATGTTGAAAGAGAAGACGGTGATCTGTGAGCAAGAAGAGTAGAAGATCACAATATTTAGTATATAGGTTGTTCTGTAAGGATGTCTTAGATACTTTTTGACAACACAATGACATAAGACACATTTCTATTTAGAAGCATAATTTGGTGTATTGACAATAAATGCTAAATGATTTACAGCAGAGATGCCGCTGAACTGGATGCATCCGTTTATGACCAGCATGGAAAGGACCTGCCAGTGCAGGTGTTTGTCTCTCAGCAGATCCAGCACACTCTTGTTGTGCTCCTCTCCAATGACTGCCTGTTCTGCTAACATCTCCTCTATCTCCAACTTATAATCGCCTGGTCCCCACAGACACTGCAGTGCTGCCGATCAAAACGTGAATGATATGTGATTTAACACAAAAGACGTTTACAATGACATACAGGGGTTGATCAGTTACTGTAAATGTAATGCACCTTTTCTGCACTGTTGAGTGTTGCCTTTCTCTATCAGAATATATCGTGGAGCATCAGGGAAGAATGGCAAGATTGCCAGCTGGACCACACAAAAAAACGCTGGGATGCATAGAAGAATGTTCCAGCACTCTTCACGGCCAAGAATTTCCCTGTGAATAAAATTAGAAACTTAGCTCAATTCAAAGAAATATTGCGTATCAAAAGATTCCTTTCCTGAAGCCAGATCTATTAAAGACAGATGAATCAAACATTAATGGTGGCATGAAATTAAAAGTTTGGAATAATTCGGGTTTTTTTTTTTATGTTTTTGAAAGAGGTCTCTTGTTCTCCAAGACTGCATTTATTTGATCAAAAATACAGGAAACATTGCGGAATATTATACAATTCAAAATAAACCCTGAAAACCCAAATATAACATACAACCAGATGAGGGCAGTGTTATTATTTTTGTTACGTTGTTTGACTTTGTTAGACTGTCTTTTCCCTGCGTCGTTGTCTCGAGCAAGAGGAAGTGAATTTACCATTTTTGTTGTTTAGATTTCCCCGTAGTCATCGTTGTCAAAACCTAGACTCCCGTCCTTCTCTGGATCTCTTTTAACTCTGCAAATATGCCTTTGGAAAACCTGGAGGAAGAGGGTTTACCTAAAAACCCCAATCTGAGGATAGCTCAGCTGAAGTTTTCGCTGACTCTGAATGATCACAGACGGGATGCTAAAGTGTGGAGCGAGCTGATGGACGCCATCAAACTCAACAGTGAGTTCATTCACTCACACATGCTGCTCGTTTAGCATATATATGTCTACGTTTCTGTACCACTGCAGGAACGTTATATGCACGAGCTTTGTAATTTCCCTGCCTCTTGAGGTTTCGTTAGCTGACAGGCTAAACCAAGTAGCACGCTAGCTCATTATCTGCTAATGTGTTTGGTTGTTTTCATCTACACATTTCGTCTTCTGGCACTTTTGAATGCCCATTGTTAGTTTTCTTAATTGCTTTATTATAATATAATGTAAACCAGGGACCGTTGTCACAGTTTACGTTTATTCCTGAAAGCAGTGTTGGGTAAGTTACTCTAAAAAAGTAATTAATTACATCTTCAACAGTTTAATTAGATTACTGTACAAATCACTCTCTCCAAAAAGTATGTAATTACTTATTTCTAATTGCTTTCTAAATCCTATGTCAACCTCGACAAGTTAATGATACAATGATAGCCATGAAATGGTTCTTTTAATTCCTTCACGTAACTACATAATTCTGGTCACACTTTAGATTAGCGTCAAATTCTCACTATTAACTATGATTTTTGCCTCAAAATACTCCTAATTACTGCTTATTAATACTTAGTAAAGTAACGTTAGTTGTAAAGTTTAAGATTTGGGTAGGATTAAGGATTTAGAATAAGGTCTTGCGGAACAATACATTAATATGTGCTTTTTAATTAATAACAAACAGCCAATATCCCAGTAATATTCATGTTAATAACCAACTAGTCAATAGTGAGAATTGGACACTAAAGTGTTGCCAATATTCTTATTAACTCACCAAAGTATTTAAAGTGAGAAGGGTACATAAAAAGTATGCATTTTAAGGTTAGACTTTAAATTTTGAGGTTAAATCCACTATTGTATTGTGTATAAATGTTCTACAGTCTATACGCACATTAAATTCAATTACATAAGAAGTAACTGAAATTAAATTACAGAAAAAATAAGAGTAATCCCTTACTTTACTTTTTCAAGGGAAAAGTAATTAAATTATAGTAACTAATTACTTAGTAATTAGTTACACCCAACACTGCTTGAAAGTAATATAATGTATTGACACAAACCGTCGAGTCTAGATTACAAAAATACGTACATTTTGAATCACTGTAGTAACACATTTGTGATGGCAATAACCTCCAGTAGCAGTGTGTATTCACACTATATTAAGTAGGTAGTCACAATGGAAACCTGCTATTAAATCATTAATGTTGGCCAACAAAACACTATATTGTGTAATCACCCATCCATCATGTATGTACTTGTCAGATCACTGTTTCTCTCATATCTAATGATACTTACTCAGAATTAGATCTAAGTGAAACACCTCAGATGCATATGTAATGATGTTGTGATTGTGTTTTGTAGATATGGCCCCGTACTATGAAGCCCTGTGTAAAGAGCTGAAATGGCAGATGGACACGGATCTGTTGAGTAAGATGAAGAAGGCAAATGAGGATGAACTGAAAAGGCTGGATGATGTTTTGGAAGATGCTGAGAAGAACCAGGGAGAGAGTGAGATCAGAGATGCCATGATGGCCAAAGCTGAATATCTCATACGCATCGGTGACAAGGTGGGAATTCAAACCATACATTCGCTGTCACGCTAAATAATAAATCATGTGCCGAAATGTTTTTGAAAGAAGTCTCTTATGCTCACCAAGACTGCATTTATTTGTTAACAATACAGTAAAACAGTAATATTGTGAAATACGTCTATTTTAATATATTTTGAAAGAAGTTTTATTTCTGTGTTCTGTGTTACTCCAGTCTTCAGTGTTTTCGGTACTTTACTCGGAAAGACTCCAGTCTTCAATCCTTAAAAAATCATTTTAATATGCTGATTTGGTGCTCAAGAAATATTTATTATCGATGTTGAAAACAGTTAATATTTCTAATGCTTAATATGTTGTGGAAACCATGTTACAGATTTTTTACAGGTTTCTTTGATGTATAGAAAGTTCTAAAGAACAGCATTTGTTTGATTTAATTTCATGCTTCCTGAATTAAGTATTAATTTCATTTGACAACACCAAAAAAAATCTTACTGGTCCCAAACTTTTGAATGGTGATATTTATTTTTAAGTTTGGTTACATACGTCTATATATTTGATTTTCTGCTTTTTATCTGTTTAGCTTCTTACACATATATTTTATCATTATATCCATTGATAATATTTCTGTCTTTCATTTAGGAAGGGGCCCTGACCGCCTTCAGGAAGACCTATGACAAGACTGTTGCTCTTGGTCATCGCTTAGATATTGTTTTTTACCTGCTGAGGATTGGCCTGTTTTATATGGACAATGACCTCATCACCCGCAACACTGAGAAAGCCAAAAGGTACAGTATAGGGTACAGACTTGTTTATTTAACAAATGCATGTCACCCTCGAATGTCGGCCTGACACTTGAACTCTGCATGTATGAACAGTTTGATTGAAGAAGGTGGTGACTGGGACCGGAGGAATCGCCTGAAGGTGTATCAGGGCCTCTATTGCGTGGCCATTCGGGATTTCAAGCAGGCAGCGGAGCTCTTTCTGGATACGGTGTCCACATTCACCTCATATGAGCTTATGGACTACAAGACGTTCGTCACGTACACTGTGTATGTGTGTATGATCGCACTCAAGAGGCCGGACCTGAGAGAGAAGGTGAGATCTAGCCTAAAAACACAGTTTATGTACAATACCTTTCAAAGGTTTGATGTTTGTTTTTTTTGGAAAGAAATGTAATCTCTTATTCAATAAGGATACATAAAATTTATCAAAAGTGACAGTAAAGATAAGATTTAAATTAATTGCTGTACTTTCTATTCATCAAAGAATCCTAAAAAAGTTTTGCACACAATATAAAGAGCAGGGTTGGGTACCGAACTCGGTACTTTTAAGGGTACCGACCGAATTGCGTCGGTACTACCGAGTACCGATTCACGTTAAATCAATCGGTGCCACATTTCGGTACCTGAGAACGCATCTGGGCGCATACGCTACAGAGAGAGAAAGAGACCCTGTGACGTGAGGTCACCTTGGGATTATAAACTAAAAAGAAAGAATGACGAGTTGATTTTTCTTACCAGAATTGTGAGATATAATCTCGGAATTGCAAGAAAAAAGTCAAAATGGTGAAATATAAACTCAAAATTACTTTTTTATTATTTTATTCCATGTCTTGAATAGACTGCTACGTTAAAACGGTCATTTTCTGCCACCAGATAGGCTCCGCCCACAAAAACGTCATCACTGTTTGCAAACACTGAAATTGGTCTATATGACCGCATGAAGACAAAAACTTAATCTCCAAGAGCTGCTGTGAGTCACTTCGCAAGAATTTTACCGTTTCATTTGAGAAAACTAGCATCATCATACTGTATACACAGAAACTTCATGGCAACCTGTCAAAATAAAAGTATGGTTTAACATGTCACAGAAATATATTACTCTTGTATTACGTTTGTACAGTATAATGTACATCTTTAAATATTCCATTTTCTATCAAATTAAAATAAAACAATTAAATTATAATAATAAATATTACAACCAGATTAATCACTTAATTGTAGAAAAAAAAATACAATTATTAGCCTATTAAAAAATCTTTTAAAGGAATATTCACACAATTTTTCTTCCATGTATTAATTTCAACAGTAAACCTCTGTTTGTTTGCCAAAAAATAAAAGGGTTTAATTTTCATTTGATTTTAAAAATAAATGTTTAATGCCTTCATTTGATTTTCAGAAAAATTAAAACAAGAATTTCTGGGGGGGGAAAAAGAAAGAAAGAAAGAAAAATGTGTAGGGCCCTATTCTTCAAAATGTTGAAATTGAGCCTTTTGGACTTATTTTTTCACTGAAATAAATGTTTTTGTATGTTAATGTAATTACACAGAGAGTAAAGTACCGAAAAAAAGGTACCGTTGGGTACCGGCACCGAAATTCAGGTACCGGTTAAAATGTTAACGGTACCCAACCCTACATGAGAGACCTCTTTAAAAATATGAAAGGAAAAATAATAATAATAAAAATCGTGCCTTCAAAATTAAAAAAATAAAGAAATAAATTCTTAAAGGGATAGTTCACCTTCAGTTGCTGGTTCCCATTGACTTACATGGAGAAAAAAAACCCCACTATGCAAGTCAATGGGTACCAGCAACTGAAGGTGAACTATCCTTTTAATTTTAAAGATTAGAGATCAATTGAATTAAATAATCATTGTTAATGTCATGATTTTAGACCAGTCATTAGAAAGCACAATGAAACCGGAATATGTCTAAATGTTTTCAAAATCATTGTTAAAACATCATTAAAAAGTTAACTTTGACAGACCTAAATATACATTTTACATTGTCTCCTCATTTACCTTCTATCACCCCCTTAAAGGAACACTCCACTATTTTTGAAAATAGGCTCATCATTTTTAAACTGTTGAGTTTTACCGTTTTCGAATCCATTCAGCCGATCTCCGGGTCTGGCGGTAGCACTTTTAGCTTAGCTTAGCATAGATCATTGAATCTGATTCGACCGTTAGCATCTCGCTCAAAAATTACCAAAGAGTTTCTATATTTTTCCTATTTAAAACTTGACTCTTCTGTAGTTACATCGTTTACTAAGACCGACGGAAAATTGCGCCTGCTGCACCCATGGTACGGCAGCAAAGTTCCTTGATTATTACGTCGGAATGCGAGTATAGTTCCTAGCCATATCGGCCTAGAAAATCGCAACTTTTCATTTTCCGTCGGTCTTAGTAAACGATGTAACTACAGAAGAGTCGAGTTTTAAATAGGAAAAATATAG